ATTTGGCCAGTGTAGTGTTTGTTTAAATTTATTGACAATATTTTAAAACCAGAAGATTTCACACACACACACACACACACACACACACTCTCTCTCTCTCTCTCTCTCTCTCCCACACTCCCTGTTTCCACTCTCTCCTGGAAATCACATGGGCTGGCAGCCTGGGTGTGCACTCGCGTGGATTTGAGGAGTGGCCGCCCCTTGGATTGAGAATCACTCGGTCTGCAGCAACCCCTACCACGCCCACTGCACCTGGCGATAAAAACAGCTAACAGTTCTTGAGCCTATTATGTGCCAGGCACTGTTCTAATTACTTTATGTAATTAAATGAATTGGCTCACTTGATTCTCACAACAACTTCGACAACTCTTGGAGCGAGTTCCTATTCTCACCCCTATTTTACAGATACGAAAACAGAGGCAGAGAGAGACTAACATGCCAAAGGCACACAGCTGATAGAGAGCTTGAACCCCAGCTCCAGTGGTCATGCCCTTAACCGCTCCACCACCCAGTCCTTACCCTTTAGGTTACTGATACTCTAGCCACCTGCAACTTGGCATCGTGTAGCTAACTATTCTACCTGGCGTGTTTAGCAGTAAATGCGGATGAGATTCCTAACCCATGTCTGATTCCACGTTGGTTACATCACTTTCGTTTAAGCCCGCTCAGCTTCAGAGTTCCTCCTGCGCATGGAGCCCCACATCACGTGTTGTGAAACAGATGCAAAAGTTTAAGGAATTATAAAAAAATGTTCTCATGCCCTTTTTTCTTTTCGACTACTACTATGATGAAGGGTTATTTTGGGAGCTTGTTCTAAAATGCATAAGAAACCAATTTGAGCTGGAGATGCCAGACCCGTGCTTGGGAGGTGTCTCATCAGCCAATATCAAGGCTCTGTGGGGGGCCAGGAGTGCACACATCTGCCAGTTGGACTTGGTGCTGAGCAGGGAAACTTATTTGAAAATGCTCCCAATTTGCACCCTCCCTTAGAAGAGAAGTTGCTGTTGTTAGGTGCCGTCGAGTTGATTCTGACTCATAGCGACCCCATGTGACACAGCAGAATTGCCCCATAGGGTTTTCTAGGCTGTAATCTTTATGGGAGCAGATCGCTCCTGCAGAGCCGCTGGGTGGGTTCGAACCGTCAACCTTCGGTTAGCAGCCGAGCATTTAATCGTTGCACCACCACCAGGGCTCATTAAGAAGAGGAGAAGGAGGAACTCTGAGATGATCAACTCCTGCCTCCCATCAAAACCAATTAACCCAACTTGGATTAAGCTGGGGCTAAAGTTAAGACCCAGAGCAAGGACAGTGGAGTTCTCTAACCCGAGGCCTTAAAATGAAGCTGGGTAGATTCTAATCGTTCTCAGGAGCTACTAACCACCCCCAAAACATCTTCTGGAGGGAAAGCATGGCTAAGCAAACGTGTTTGTTCTTTATAAACAGCTTCTCCCGCGTTGGTAAGGAAGGAACATTTCCAGATACTGAGGAGTCCACCCTCTAGCAGAGGGGCTTCTCTCACCGCGGGGCACAGACTGGCAGCTCCTCGAGGGCAGGCACTGAGGGCTCCGCTGAGCCTTGTCCATCTCTGAGCTCCCACTGCCCCTGCACCTGCCTGCGGGAAGCTTTAATGCTCCTGTGCTGGTATCTCTGAGTCACTGGTCTGTCTCCCCACTAGACTGGAAACTCTCTGAGGGCAGAGTCTATGCCTCGTTCATCTGAGTCGCCAGGGCTCAGTGTGGGGTTTGGACTGAGGAAGATTTGGAGTAGCAAGAAAGGATGCAAGAGAGGGAAGAGGAGGGGGGAGAAGGAAAGAGAGAGGATGAAGAAGAGGGAGGAGAGGGGAGGAGGAGGAGGGAGGGAGGAAGAGAGCAAGAGGAAGGAAAGAGAGAGAAGGGAGGAGGGAGAAAGAGAGGGCAAGGGAGAGAACGGTCAGGAGGGAAGGAGAAAGAGGCAGAGATGGGAGAAGAAAGGCAGGGAAGAACTGAGAAAGAGTCTATGCATAGGAAGGGAAAGGAGAGGTGGGAAAGAAAGAAAAATGAAAGGAAATGAAAAAAGAACAGAGAAGAAAGGAGAAAATAATAGCTCACCCTCGCAGCCCACTCCATTGCAGGCACCATTCCAAGCACTTTTGACATGTTTTAGCTCACTTCCTGGGGCAGGCATTACGATCCACCCTTTTGTAGTTGAGGAGACTGAGACCCCGGGAAGGGGAGTCACTTGCACAAGGTCACTCAGCTGGTAAGTGCTGGCACTGGGGCTTCCAGCCAGGAAGTCTGGCTCCAGAGCCCTCTCTCTTGACCTCCACCCGCCAAGAAAGCAAACAGGAGTGTGGGCAGAGGACAAGACAAGGGTGCTTACCTGGCAAGGAGCTGGGACACACACGGAAGGCCTGATGTAGGGATGCCTGGAGGGAACAAGAAACATTTGAAGGGCTTTAGCTGTCAGGGAGATGTTCTGCAAATGTTGTGACTTCAGACACTGGCTTAAGCAGGAAGAAACTAAGAAAGGAATTGCCAGGGACTTTCTCAACCGCAAAAGCAGATCTGAGGTGAAGCATTTTAGCCGTCTCCTTCTTGAGAATCTTTTTGGATATGCTTTACCTTTGGGTGCCCAGTGAAGGACTCCATATAGTATCTCGAATCATCAGAGTGGAATCCACTCCCCACCCACTCTACAGGTGGCGAAACCGAGGCCACAGAGAGACAGCCAGAATGTGCTTGAGCCAGGTCACATGACTAGAGAGCAGCACAAATGGGACCTGAACTGGGATCTGATTCCCAAGTTAGTGCTGTCTCCACTCATGGATAGAGTCTAACTCTTTTCCCTGGCTCAAAGGCAACCCAACAACCCCAGAATGGTAGACACCGGTTGGCTTTGATGGTCTAACATCCATTTCTCTTCTGATAATGACATCACCTTGATGTTTCCTGGGGCAATCTCCCCTCCACCCTCAGTCCATAGAGTTCAGGTGGTGCTGGCCCCAGCACTTAGGGGAAGGCACATGTTGGATCATCTCCTGGGCTCCACTCAGAATGGAGTAGAGAGAGGGAAGAGGCCTGAACTCCGATGCACTTGCTTTGCACCGTTATCACTGGACACACAGCGTCCAAGCATTGCTGAGGGGCAGACGATGAAGAAGGTGACGAAAAGGTGACAGAATCAAGCTGGCAGAGATATTTGCAAGAGGACTAATCTTATAAATGGGCACTTCAATGGGGACTATTTTTGATCTACATCATCTTTAACAATGCAACTCAACCTCCCCACTATGGAGGCCTGGCCAAATACTAGACAACGAGTCTACTGATGGGGACAGGGTGCACAATCTGCTGATTGGCACTCCCTGTTATGTAGGGCAGTGGCTGGCATGTCCCCGAGCCACCTGGGAAACGTCCTCAAGACCCCCAGAGCGCTGAGCCTCTCTTAGCCCCTGAGCTGGAGGCTCTGATTGACCAACTTGCAACTCCCACTATACCGCTTACTGCTATGGGACTCTGGGCAGGTTGTGAGGGTCCCTGGGACTCCGAGTCCTCTCCTTTGCAATGGGGACACAAACGTTTATCTCACAAGGATGCTGTGAGGATTAAATAAGGTGATGATAATGATAAAGTCGATGATATCCATCATTTACCTTGTGCTTGTTAAGTGCCGAGCTCTCTTCTAAACACTTTCCCTGGATTAGTTATTTTAAGTCTCATAATCACCCCATAAGGAGCCCTAGTGGTGCAATGGTTAAGAGCCTGGCTAACGAAAAGTTGGTGGTTCGAACCCGCCTAGTGGCTCCGTTGGAGAAAAGACATGGCAATCCACTTCTGTAAAGATTACAGCCAAGAAAACTCTATGGAGCAGTTCTACTCTGTCACATGGGGTCGCTATGAGTTAAAAATCAACTTGACAGCACCTAACAACAACCACCCCATGAGGAGCATTCTAGTAATGCCCCCATTTTACAGACGAACAGCCAGAGGCACACAGAGTTTAAGTAACTCACCCACAGCCACAGAGGCCGTAAGGGGTAGATCTGTGATCTGAACCTGGGGATACGGCTCGGGAGTTTTGTCTTCTCAACCACATCACTCCAGCCGACAATGATAATCATCATCATAATAGCACATTTGCAGAGAACTTGACTATGGGTGACTTGGGGTTGACTCTGTTAACTGCTTATACACATGATCTCATTTAGTTCTCACAACAATGCTGTGAGGTAGGCTCTGTGATTATCCCCACTATACAGATAAGAAACTGAGGCTCCAAAGGTTAAGTGCCTTCCTCAAGCCACATAGCCTGTGGGTGAGGGAAACAGGACGGGAGCCCAGGGTTATTTGAATCCAAAGCCCGTACTTTAACTACCTCCTTGCCTGAGTCAAATGCTGTGCAAGTCCCACCCACTGGGTCAGGAGGGGTGGAGGTGTCCTGAAGTTCCAAGAGTTACAACTAGAATTAAAAAATAAAACAGGCAATATCCCCATGTATTGCCCATCAAAAATCAGTTACCACTGAGTCAATTCAGGCTCATGGCGACTTCACGTGTTTCAGAGTAGAACTGTGTTCCAAAGGGTTTTCAATGACTTTGATCTTTCAGAAGTAGATTGCCAGGCCTTTCTTTGGAGTCACCTCTGGATAGATTCAAACCTTCAACCTTTTGGTTAGCAGCCAAGCGCCTAAATCATTTGTACTACCCAGGGACTATATATTGCCCATAGTAAGAAGGAATTGAGTGAAATTTATGTTTTAGTCATAGGCGTGTGTGTGCTTGTGTGTGTGTGTGTGTGTGTGTATGGCAGTGTGAAAATATATTTCTTATCATGTGTTGCATTGCATAAACAGTTTGACAGGCAGTGATCTAAAGCAGAGGAAGGTCCCAGGCATACAGTAGGTGCTCATCAATGCTAATCTCCCCACTCCAGGTTTGCTTAGCAGGCAGGCCCTCCAGCATCGCCCCTTCTCTATCCTCCCCCAGGACCAGAGAATAAACTATCTCATTCTGAAGCAGCCACCATCTCATTATTGATAAAAGCCCGCAACTTGAGTGCGTTCAGTAATACATAACTTAGTGAATTAAACATTTTGAATGTTTTCTTTAATAAATATGTAAATATTCATAAAAGTATAAATGTATGGAAACCACATTCCTATGGGCTCGGATTAACCTGGCAGTCCACAAATTGGAAGGAAGTGTCTTTCTTCCCGGCCTCTGTGGCACAATTTGCATGTTTGACTCACCCCGGCTTTCTTTTCTCACCTCCACCCTGTTCCTCTGAATTGTTCATCGACCTGCCTTCCCCACACAGGCAGGTGCTCCTTGCCTGCTGTCCACCCCTCTGAAGGGTCTGAGCTATGATACCCTCCCTTTACTACACCAGGAACCAACCTCTAAGAAGACCGCGCAAGCCAGGAATAGACATTTCCAAGTGCAAAGAGGTTTTCCTTCTGCAGACTGTGCGAGTTTTGGAAAACACAGGGTTTTGCCCTTTTCTTTTACATTTAACCTTTTCATCCCAGGACACTCAGGGGAACTGAGAACCTGGAAAATTAGTGTGTTATACGGAAAGATCCCCTTCCTCCCTTTTTTTTTCTTTCTCCTCCTTCCTCCTTCCCTCTCTCCCTCCCCTCCTTCCCTTCTTTCTTCACCTTCCTTCCATCCCTCCCTCCCTTCCCTTCCCTTCGTTTTCCCCCCTGCTAAGGATGATGTAGACTTCATTGATGATTCTGACGGCCCATGGTAAGGCAGGGCTCTCTAAGCTCCTTCCCTTCTTCAGGAGGCCCAGGATGGACTATGACAAGGATGGAGAGTCTCAGTGCACTGAACCTAGAGGTGGGGCACGGACTCCACAAGGGCTGAGAGGCTCTCTCTGCCTCTTGTGCGTTGCTGGTTGCCCAGGGCTATTAGTTCTCAGAGGCCATGTGGATCAAGAGGTTCAGCTTACAGTTGCTGTAGCCAAACATCATCGTCATACCAGAAAGTGAGCTTGACAAAGTTGTCATTGTGGGCAATGGCAGCCCTAATAAGAAAGGTGGAGTGGGCACCACTGTTAGAATCGCAGTAGACAGCCTGGTCCCCCATGTAGCTCAGGATGTCTTTCAATGATCCCCCCAGTTACCTGCTTCACCACTTTCTTTTTTTATTATTGTAGTTTAAGTGAAAGTTTACATTTCAAGTTAGTCTCTCATACAAAAATTTATACATACATTGTTATGTGACCCCACCTGCTCTCCCTATACTGTGACAGCACACTCCTCCTTTCCACCCCTGATTTCCCATGTCCATTCAAAAAGCTCCTAACCCTCTCTGCCTTCTCATCTCACCTCCAGACAGAAACTGCCCGTTTAGTCTCATGTATCTATTGAGCTAGGAAACACACTCTTCACGAGTATCATTTTATGTCCCACAGTCCAGTCCAATCTTTGTCTGAAGAGTTGGTTTGGGAAATTGTTTTATTTCTGGGCTGACAGAGAATCCAGGGGCCATGCTTTCCAGGGTTCCTCCAGACTCAGTCAGACCATTAAGTCTGGTCTTCTTATCAGAATTTGAGTTTTGCACCCCACCTTTCTCCTGCTCCATCAGGGACTCTCCATTGTGTTCCCTGTCAGGGTGGTCACTGGTGGTAGCCGGGCACCATCTAGTTCTTCTGGTCTCAGGCTGTTGAAGTCTCTGGTTTATGTGGCCCTTTCTGTCTCTTGGGCTACTACTTTCCTTGTGTCTTTGGTGTTCTTCATTCTCCTTTACTCCAGGTGGCTGGGACCAGTTGATGCATCCTAGATGGCTGCTTGCAAGCTTTTAAGACCCCAGATACCACTCACCAAAGTAGGATGCAGAACATTTTCTTAATAAACATTGTTACGCCAATTGACCTAGATGTCCCCTGAAAGCATGGTCCCTGGACCCCCACCCCTGCTACTCCGTCCCTCGAAGTGTTTGGTTGTTTTTAGGAAACTTCTTAGCTTTGGTTTAGTCCAGTTGTGCCGACTTCCCCTGTAGCGTGTGCTATCCTTCCCTTTACCTAAGACAATTTTTGTCTACTATCTAGTTAGTGAATAACCCTCACCCTCCCTCCCTACCCTTGTAACCATCAAAGAATGTTATCTTCTGTGTTTAAACCTTTTCTTGAGTTCTTATAATAGTGGTCTTATATAATATTTGTCCTCACTAATTCACTCAGCATAATGCCCTCCAGATTCATCCATGTTATAAGATGTTTCACGGCTTCATCATTGTTCTTGATCGTTGCATAGTATTCCATTGTGCAAATATACCATAATTTGTTTATCCACTTGTCTGTTGATGGCCCCTAGGTTGTTTCCATCTTTTTGCTATTGTGCTTCACCACTTTTTTGATGCCATTGCATCTGACAGCTTTTTCCAGATCCAGGTCAGATCCCCAACAGAACATTGAGGGTAGA